AGCTCATAAATGAACTAAAAGTTCAGCTCAAATATGTTAAACTACTAGACTCAAGAGAAGACAAAATTTGATTTATTTTGGACTAGTGTTGACCCCCCCTTTGTCTACATCATTTGTCATTTTGTTGGTGTAGATGAGAGCACATTTTGTTTTCATGTGCATGTGTGTTTTTTTCTCGGTGTCTGAATTGATGTGCTTGTGCGGTCATGTGCATATAAGATTGTATTATATATAAGATATATTGGGATAGGAGATTTCTTATTAATGCATATGATGTTTAACCTAAAAATAAGCCTTTTAAATTTATTTATTTATTTTTATTTTTCCATCTTGGCCATCTGAGACTATATAAGCCTTTTAACTTGATTTAAGGTTTTGTTAGGTATAAGGTATGCTGCGCTGATACAAAGCGCTTTACCCAAATATAAGGTCTTTGACCCATGAAAATTCATGAAGGTCAGTGGTTCTTTTTGTAGCTATAATAATGATAGTCTTATAGACTGATAATGTAGCCTTATGTTAAGTATTTATTTATTTGGTTTGTACTTTATTCAAAAATGTAAAAGATACTTTATGTTAAATTCAGAGAATTAGAGAGAGACAAAAGGCTTAATTTTATTGCTCAAACATGTCCCTATTTATAGATCTATACAATATATCTTAATAAAGAAACAAATAATTATAAAATCATACATAATTGCTCTAATATAATCCTTCCTAAATCAGCCACCTAAATATGGAAGGAGATCGCTGCAATCCAGGTGAGCCTCCCACAGATTCCCATCCTAGCCGTAGGATCAAAATGCCAAGAGACGATTGAGATCGGCACAATCTTGGTGAGCCTCCCATGGATCCCCTTCGTAGCTGTGGGATCAAAATATTAAGGGACGACTGTGATTTAACACTTCATCTCAAACTGGGGAATATAGATCTGTCATTCCCAGCTTGGTAATCAGTCCCAGAAAGATAGAGTTATCAAGTCCCTTGGTAAGAATATCTGTAAGTTGATCTTTTAATGGGCATCCTAGATACATATAAGATTACTGTTTAGTTTCTCCTTTATGAACTATCTGTCTACTTGTATATGCTTGGTTCTGTCATGATAAACCGAATTGTTAGCTATATTGATTGCTGATTTGTTGTCACAGTGTAGCTTCATGGGTCCTTCCCACTTTATTCTTAGGTCTTCTAGAATCTTTTTAATCCATAGTAGCTCACATATTCTCAAGGTCATAGCTCTATATTCTATTTTTGCACTAGACCTTACCACCACATTCTGTTTCCCATTTATCCATGTAATAAGGTTTTCTCTAAGGAATGTGCAGTATCCTGAGGTAGATCATCTATCTATTGGTGATCCTGCATAATCTGCAACAACATATGCTTATGGGGTTATTATACTCTTTTGAAGAGAATCTCTTTACTTGGGTTCCCTTTAAGGTAATGCGATATTCTGTCTATAGCTTGCATGTGAGTCTGCTTTGGATTTGGCATGAACTGGTTGACATGCTTACAACAAACACTATATCTTGTTTGGTGTGGGAAAGGTAGATACCTGTTTCTTTAAGAAGTTTATTAATGTATTTTTATTGTGAAATGAAGATTCTTCTGAAGGAAATATTTTAATCTACCATGATCTTTGATCTCATATTCCTTGGCAAGATATTTCCTTAGAATCACTTTCTCCTTTCATCATTTCCAATCAAGATGATATCACCACATAAACTAATAAAATAGTGACTTCTCCTAAGTTTGAGTGCTTGAAGAATAATGTATGGTCCCCTTGGCTCTATCGATAATCAATAAGTAGCATGAATTTTGAGAATATTCTAAACCAAGCTCTAGACATTTTCTTTAACCTATATAAAGCCTTTTTTAATCTATACACTTTGCCACCCCCAAATTTCTCCTTGAATCCTAATGTAATCTCCATAAATATTTTTTCCTCCAAGTCCTCATATAGGAATGCAATTTTTACATCCAATTGTTCCATATATCAGTTGTAATCATCTGCTAGTAAGAGCAGGATTCTCACAGTGTTAATCTTGGCCACATGTGCAAAAATTTTCTTGTAATCAATATCATACAACTGAATGTACCTTTTCTCCACTAGTCTTGCCTTATACCTTTCCAATGTGCCATCAGCTTTGTATTTCATAGGGAACACCCATTTGCATCTGATTAGTTTTTTTTTCATACTAGTAAGTCGGTGATCTTCCATGTATTGTTCTTTTTCAGGGCCTACATTTCATCTTTCATAGTACTTTTCCAATTTTCATCAGATAAGCTCTCAGAAATATCATTAGGAATATGAATATCATTTAGTGTAACCATAATTTTTTGTGTGAAGGTGATAACTTATGGAAGGATACAAAGTTGGTTATGGGGTACAAGGGAGGTTTTTTTGGTGAACTTGTGCTTACCTCAATTTCAGGAGACGGTTCAAATTCTTTGATATGCTCTGGAGCATAGTTTGAATTTGTACGCCTAGAATACACTTACCCAAACCTCCTATTATCCATAATAACTTTGTCCTCAGTTTTCTTGGCTTTGATTTTAGGTTTAGGTGGATTGGTTTGAGGTGGAGCTAGAAGGTCAAGAGGGGCAAGCTCACTTTCCTCATATATCTCAGTTTTATTCTCCCCCTGAAGATGAGGTTTGGCGAAATAGGAATTTTATTCATCAAAGATAACGTCAACAAATCAAGAGTTTTTTGAATATCTAACAAAAATACATTTGAGTGATCTTGAATCTAATTTCTTCTATTTTGACGGTGGATGTGAACATAGGCAATGCACCCAAAGATTTTGTGTGTAAGGTTATTATTGGTTTGAAATTCGGGATAAAAATATGATAGAATATCCATTGGTGTTTTTAGTCCCAAGGTGTTTGAAGGTAGTCGGTTTATGAGATATGTGGCAGTTAGAAGGGCTTCCCTCTAGTAGGATTTCGATATATTGTGGTGGAATATAAGTGCATAGGTGGATGCTAGAAGGTGACCATTTTTCTTTTCTACAACCCTGTTTTGTTGTGGGGTGTGGATGTATGAAGACTCTTAAATGATGCCTTCTTTTTGAAAGTAGGAGGATAGGGTTTAATTGAAATAATCTTTAGCATTATTAGAATAAAGTTTTCTTATTTTTTACTCCGAATTGGTTCTAGATCATGGTATGAAAAATATGGAGGATAGTGGTAACATCGGATTTTTTTTTGAGGAAAAAAAATTAGGAGACTCGAGTGTAGTCATCAATGAAGGATATAAACCATCGGGTCTTTGAGATGTTGGGGATTTTTTAGGGTCCCCAGATATCACTATGAATAAGGTAAAATGGAGTGTTACATCTCTCATGTTTGTTTGGAAAAGAAACTCGTTTATGCTTGGTGAACTCATAGGTTTCACAATGAAAAGATTCGTGCAGCATCATGAGCTTTTGAGAAGGTTTGCCTTGCGACATCTCATATGTATTTTGCAGTAGATAGGAACATGAAAGTTTCGCTAATTTTTGGAGTCATGGAATTCCACAACCATGATATGATCATGGAGTCTGCTTCATCCCATACCCAAAATTAGGATCTTCTTCTTTTGGTCCTACCCCAAGGAGGTGATTCATCTTTCCTTTCCATTTCAATTAGGTTTTCATAAATTGAGTCCACTTCAAGTAATTCTTCCCCATTTAAGCAACATGAAGGTTGCATATTTTGGAGATTTCCTCTTCCTTGGTGCACCATAGAGTTTGGGGAGGAATGGGAATCAGCGGGATTCTTGGATTCGATGGCCAAGAGGTATGCATGCTAGATTTTTTGGTTTCTTCCCTCTTGTTTTGTTTATACAGAGGTTAACAAAAGGATAGCGATGCTGGTTATATTAAGCATGTTAGCAAGGTGCAGGATAACAATAAAGATTGTGTTGGTTATAAGAGTAGCAGCAATAACAAGAGAAGGTCGGCAATGAAGGTCGCTTGCTCTTCTACGCATCCTTCTCTTTAGTCTCTGAATGAGAACAACAATGAATGCTGGTGGTGGAACTCACAGATTATATCTCTTTAGGCTTTGATACCTTGTTAAATTCAGAGAATTGGAGAGGGAAAATGTTTAATTTTATTGCTCAAACATGTCCCTATTTATACATCTATACAAGATATTTTAATAAAAAAACAAATAATTATAGAATCATACATAATTTCTCTAATATAATCCTTCCTAAATGAGCCACCTAAATATGGAAGGAGATCGGCACAATCCAGGTGAGCCTCCCATGGATCCCTATCCTAGCCGTGGGATCAAAATGCAATGGACGGCGGAGATTGGCGCAATCCAGGTGAGACTCCCATGGATACCCATCATTGCCGTGGGATCAAAATGTCAAGGGATGGCTGAGATTTAACACTGTAGAAATGCCCCTCTCACAGCCCTCTTATATAAATTTAGGTTAATATTCTATGGATCCAACTAAAGAGAGCTAACGTTATTGACCCTAGTGCTGTTCCCCTCAATTTAATATGATATCATGAAACACTTCTCTGATGACACTGTAGCTTCTTTGTCACGAGGAATGTGTGTGATAGGTGAGAACTCTTGCTAGTACTAGCCAATCTATTTCTTTACAATCATGATTGGTAAGAAAACCAAATATTCTGAATGTTTTCTTTGGTTGTGAGCCTCTGATTGTAGCTGATAGGAGAAATTCCTAAACGAATTGTTTGTGCTGCAACTTCCAACATTGTCTTTTGACCAGATGGTAACTCTTTTCTTTAATGTAATTAATCAACTGCAGATACATTTTGTTGCCATTTCAAGTATTTCTGAAGATATAGGCCTCGTTTAATAATGCCTTTACAACTGTTTCACTTTTTGAAAACCTTTCATCATAATTTTGATTTTTGCTGAATGTGGTGGAAATAACCGTTTGCTGTTTTTTCTTTTAATTCATCGCAATATAATCTTCTTTATTGAATTACTTGTTTGCAAGGTACATTGATATGTTATTTTATGATTTATAGGTTCATTCTTGACAAAAAGATAGGTATCGGCCAACCAAAACGCATTGAGAATGCTAAAATATTAGTGGCAAACACTGCTATGGACACTGACAAAGTGAAAATTTATGGGGCTCGAGTGCGAGTTGACTCGATGGCTAAGGTTGCTGAGATTGAGGGTGCCGAGAAAGATAAAATGAGAGAAAAGGTTCAAAAGATTATTGCGCATGGAATCAACTGTTTCATTAACCGGCAGTTAATCTATAACTTTCCTGAAGAGCTTTTTGCTGATGCGGGGATACTTGCAATTGAGCATGCCGACTTTGAAGGGATTGAGCGTCTTGCTCTTGTGACTGGTGGCGAAATTGCTTCTACCTTTGATAATCCAGAGTCCGTGAAACTTGGACATTGCAAGCTCATTGAAGAAATAATGATTGGTGAAGACAAGTTGATTCACTTCTCTGGGGTTGAAATGGGCCAGGCATGTACAATAGTGTTACGAGGGGCCAGGTATGTATCATCTATGAACAATTTTACAAATTCATTTTCCTCAAAATATTCATTTTCTTGCACACTGGCCACTTCCTGTGATTATTTTTATGAACCGGATACGTAAGCCAACTTTTTTATGCACTGATGATACCATTGATAATTTGCTGGATCATATATCTATCAATAGGGTTGTAAGCAAGTTAATTCATTTGATGAATAACTTGATACTAGTTCATGCAAGGCTAGCTTATGCTTATTTATTTAAAGAATTAAATAAGTTTGAGGAAAATTTTAAAAACTTGGCATACATGAATAGATTTGGACATTAACCGGCTTATTTAGTTATGTTCATGAACATACTCATTTGTTATTCAACTAGTAGCCCTCTAAGTACTCATTTAATGATGATTTAATTATTTATTTGTTGATTTATGCTATGTTATTATATGATTTTCTTATATACGATACACCATTTAATCTGTGTATATTATTTGAGTTATGAGTGTGATGTAAATATCAAATAAATAATTAAATATATAAGCTAAATATATTTTTAATAAACATTTGAACCCATCAAATAATATAATTATTAGTTATTTATGTCAGTTTGTCCAGAAAACTAATAGAGGAGCTTGACTAAAATTTCAGAACTTCGGTAATGTTCAAGCTCAGTTTGAATTGAATGAAAAAAAAAAAGAGGGATAAACGAGCTTTAGAAGAAGAAAAAAAAAAAAAAGATGATAAACGACCTTTTACAAAGCATTAATTCACAGCTTTACAAAAAGGATAACGAGTTTGAGTTGAATTAATTCACAGCCTCATCTATATAGTTAAATGTTGGGATGTTTTGGATTCTATAATACCATATTAGTATGAAAGATTAAAATCTATATTATAAGTTTTATTATAGAATATATCATCCCTATTAGAATATCACTTCAATATTGATTATTGACATTCGGATCTATCTAGCAGCATGAGAAATGGCTTTTGATCTGAAACAAAATCTTTTATTATAAGTTTTATAACAGAATATATCAACTACTACAGGATTATGTTGATATTAACATGCTGTTGCAATTTTTAATTTTCAGCCATCATGTTCTGGATGAAGCTGAAAGGTCCCTTCATGATGCTCTGTGTGTGCTGTCCCAAACTGTGAATGACAGTCGAGTATTGCTTGGGGGTGGTTGGCCAGAGATGGTGATGGCCAAAGATGTTGATGATCTTGCTCGTAGAACTCCTGGTAAGAAGTCTCTTGCCATTGAGGCTTTCTCCCGTGCACTCCTCGCCATACCAACCATCATAGCTGATAATGCTGGACTAGATAGTGCCGAGCTTATTTCCCAGCTCAGGGCAGAGCACCACAAAGAGAAGAGCAATGCCGGAATTGATGTTATATCTGGATCTGTAAGTACCAAATTTTTTTCCTTTCCTGTTGGTCTGATGTTCAGAATTGTTTCATGAAAGAAAATCATTATAACAAATGCTTAATAATTACTAAAACCCTGTAGATTATATGTTGCTTTTCATATATACAAAAGAAAAAAATTGAGTTAGGATATATTGATATATTTGGCTATTTTGGCATACATTTCAGCAATGGTGGAGCCATTTTTTTTAACAGATACATATAAATTAATTTAATTATTTGAAATAGCGAGAATTTATTGATATACACGTATTATATATAAAAATATTAAAAATTTAGTAGATGCACAGCAGGCCAAATATACTCCTTTAAATGAGAAATTATTACGTGCCGAGTTTAGATGCCATCCGAACTCCAATTATGTGAAGACATGTGGATTTTTTCGCTCTCTTGTATGTAGGGTGTATACAAGAGAAAAAATTCATGTGTTTTCATGTGATTTGAGTCTAGATGAAAGCTACGTCCAGACTCCGCACGGAATAATCTCTCCCTTTAAATCCACCTTTGCATTTAACAGTAAAAATTTTCATTATTTTTGAATGTTTATGGAATTGATGTCTGATGGAATTGCATGCAATTTAAAAACAATAAAAATGTACCATATCATTTTTGTTTCTGTACAAACAACTTACTAATAAATGCTTTACACTTTTACCTGCTTCTGATATTGAGCAACTGATTTGCAGGTTGGTGACATGGAGAAATTAGGCATATCAGAGTCCTTCAAGGTTAAGCAGGCGGTCTTATTGTCTGCTACTGAGGCTTCTGAGATGATTCTCAGAGTTGATCAGATTATTACCTGTGCTCCTCGCAGAAGAGAAGAAAGAATGTGAACTTCTATCTCTTCTATTTTCTGGTTTGTATTTGCCACTATGGATTGTTAGTTACTTTCCTGTGATGATTTTTGTATGATGGTGAATTTTGTTTTGTGAAGGCTCCACATTTTTAATCTGAATGAGACTTCTTAGGTTTTTACTTTGTTCTGTTTGTGATTGTTGGAGAAATATTTTGAAAAAAAAAAAAAACAATTTTCAAAGCTATTTTATGTATTGCAACTCTTTGCTTGCAAAATTTGTTCATGAGTACAATGTTAGTAAATTTTACTTTTCTTTGGGACAGCTTTCTTATAATTTTTTAAGTTGTTTTTTAATATACAATTTTTTAATTATCTCATATAAGCTTTAGGTGGAAAAATATATTTATAGAAAACTTTGAAAAATAGCAAAAATTGTAGCCATCAACAGTATTAAATTAGTTGTGAAATTTTTATGGCAAAAAATAATTTTTGAAAGCTTTAGGTAAGTTTTAAAATTTTTCTTTGTAAATTTTGTATTTGCTTTGTTGTGATTATAATCTTAAAGATCTGATAATGAAATTTTTTTCTCATTATAAAAAACTCTCTAAAAAAGACGGTTTGAGCCAAACAAAAGTGATCAGGTATGGAAAATAAAACTCGAAAAAACTATATTAAACGGGCAATTAATAATCTCATTAGTATTACTGTGCTGTTGACTTGGATAAATGATAAAAACGTTGCTTGAATTGCATAATAATGACCATTAATTATCAAGCTTATTTTAGTTAGAATTAAGCAATTGTTAACTGTAATAATAAATTTTATTTACAAATCAATGCAATTTAAGAGGCATAAGTTTAATCAATCTCGTTTGGATATTGAGAAACACAATATAAAATGCATGACTTGTTTTCAAGTTTGCTTCATAATATTGTCATTATCTCGGCCTTATTTAAATTTAGGCTTTATTTGGGAAAGTTTTTTTAATATTTGTTATAACAACTTTTTAATATATAAATTTTTTGAAAGAAATAAAAAAATAATGATAAAATTATCTCAAATGAAATCTTAATAATATATTATATGTTTGATTTAAATGCATACTAAGTCGGGTTTTGAAAATTTTGCTACAATAGAAAAAGAAAAACAAATGATATTGGAGTCCTTCAAAACCCTAGTTGCCTCTTTGGTTCCTCTTACATCTTTCTCACCTCCTTCGACTCTATTAGAAGCGTGACTCTTCCATATGGAGTCGGCTGACCACCTCTCCATCTTAGGTTTCCCTCCACTACCTACGGGGCCTCATTCACCAAAATTCCTTATCCCTAATGATGAGGCCGCAATTGTTGCTATCAATTGGAAAAATGCTCTTTCTTCTTGGAGCTGCTCATTGGTGGATTTTCCTATCTTTTTCCGACCTCCTAAGGAGTCTGTGGTTAAATTTACACCATATATGATTGTCAAAGGCGCGAAAGATTGCAATCTTGCCCTAATAAAAAACTCTTTTGGTAAGTGTCTTTATTGTCTGGCTCTTCTCACTAACATGAAACAGTATGGCCCTTCAAAGATAATCTTGCCCTATTCACATTATCAGATGATTTTTTTTTTTGTTATTATTATTATTATTATTTTAGTTTGAAGGCTATGATATGATTTAGTCCGGAGGACCTTACTTTTTCATCAGGAAATCTTTTATCTTACATAAATTTTATACTTTTTATTTCCAAAAGTGAAAACTTTACTTACTATCCCTCTGTGGATCAAGATCCATGTTGTGCCATTAGTGTATGGAATCCTGAGGGTATTTCCATGATTTCTATCTTTGTTGGATACCTTTAGCTATTGATTGACTTTTTGTTGAGATATCTCATCTCACTTTTGCCTAGGTCTGTGTTTAGATTTATGGGAAATCGCAACTTGTAGATGAAATTCCTATTTCTTTTGATGGGAAATTCTTTAACCTTAAAGTCCAGCATGTTTGGAAACCATCAACTTTTGAATTATGTAGTTCATTTGTTCATCCCATCAATATTCTCCCTAAAAACCCTAATCGTAAAGTTCCTGAAAATATATTGAATCGGGGGAGAAGCACCAGTAGGAAACCTATAGGGTCTATGTTTCAATCTAAATCTAAAACTTCCAAAATTTATATACCTAAAACCTCTACTACTCAAACGGGTCTATAGGGTGCTGGCCCATCTAGGACTTGTATGATTATGTGGGCGTTTTGGATACTGTTGATAATCTTAATGCTATTGCAGATTTTAATATTGAGATTGTTCCTATGGGGCATGCAAATGACACATTGGGAGCTATTGATGAAGATGTAACTATAAATGCTCTGAACGATTGTATTAAATAGATTTCTTCTGCTCTTGTTGAGGAAAATGTGGCTATTAATATTGGCATTCCTACTGCTAATAAGGGCATTTTTGCTAATTTAGAAGTGTCTGTGGCTAATCCCTCTCCTTCTGTTAAAAATATTGTGGTTAGCAATGCTTTTAACAAACCTTTCTCTTCTGAAGATTGTGCCTCCTCTTCTTCAGAGGTTATGGTTGTTATTCCCAACTTAAACTTACCATTCAGGGAAACTCACTCCTCATTTATCTCTTCTCCTATTATTAAGGATTCTACTTGGTTGCACACTTCTAATAAATATGAATTACTTAATAATTATAATATTTTCTATATAGTTGCTGATGCCTTGGCTTCTCCTATTAAAGGTCAAGGGACCATTAATACTAGATTCAAAAGGGCTAGACAATGTTTCAAACAAAGGTCTAATAATATTTCTGTTTGGAATGTGATGATTTTAACAACCATGATAAAGTTTTGATGTGTAAGGATTTTGTAGGTATAAGCTTGATTTATTTGTATCTTGGAAGCCAAGATTATTTGTTGCTCTCTTTATGATCCTTAATTTTTTACTTCTCATTTAATCTTTTGCATGAATAATAGTTGTAAGAAGTTTGGTTTGTGCTCTCCTAGTTGTATTTGGGTTAAATGGAATTCTCTCTCTACTAATTTTATTTTTATTTACATTGATAACCAGTTTATTCATAGGGAAGTTTTGTTTAATGGTAGCTTTTTTTGTTATTTAATTTATATATGTGCTTCTAACTCTCCATGTGATAGATATTTACTATATCAGCAACTTTTAAAAATTGGGAGTGGCATCTTGAAACCTTGGGTTATTTTAGGAAATTTTAATTACTACAGGCACTATAATAAGGCTGGGGCGGCATCAAGTGGTTATAAGTAAGATCTAGACTTTTAATAATATGATCTTTGTGAATGGTTTGCATGATTTGGCCTCTTCTATGCTATTTTACTCCATAGGTTTATTACCCCATTCATATTAAACATGATAGAGTTGTGGTGAACAATTTGTGGCTTTAGAATGATTTTATATCTTTTTATAAAGTTGAGTCCTTTATTCTTTGATCATTCTCCTTTAATTTTAGATTTTAACAATATTATGCCTATCAAGCGTAGATTTTTATTTAAAAATTTCTAGCTCAATTATTATGATTATAGGGATGTTCTGATTTCTTCTATTTCTATGAATTATAATGGCGATTCTATTAATATTTCGTATAATATTATCATAATTAACCTCAAAAGAAAGATTAAAGCTATGAATTGGTCTTCTTCTTCTCTCCTAGCTCCTACTGTTTATGAGTTACAAACTCAACAAAAATACTATTTAGATTTACTTAATGATAACACTTTATCTCATTCTCTTAATTCTAATCTAAAATCTATTAATGACAAGCTCTCTGTTCACCATGATGCCTCGGCCTCTTGGATTATTCAAAGGGCCAAAGCCAAGAGGCTTTTTCATGGTGAGGATGATTTAAAATTTATCTGTAGTAAAATTAGAATGAGGCAGAATTATAATACTATTAGAAATATTACTACTACTGATAGGAGCTTTTCTTCTCCCCAAGATATCAATTATGCTTTAATCTCTCATTTTGCTAATCCTTTTAATTCTAATTCCCAAGACTTTGTCTTTCATGTTAATCTTCTTATTAGCTCTTCCCTACATATTCATCTTATCTCTGATTTAATTGCTCCTGTTAATGATGATGAAATTAAAAGAGTAATATTATCCAGTCCTAAATCTTCAACTCCTGGCCCAATGGCTTCACTTTTGAGTTTTACGAGAAATCCTGGACCTTTATAGGCAATTAAGTTGGTAAAGCTATCAAGCACTTTTTTATCACTTCCTTCCCAAAAAAGTTAAGGGCACTACTCTTGCTCTTATTCATAAACAGCATCATGCCTTCCATATTAAATATTTCAGGTTTATCTCTTTATGTAATACTTTTTATAAAATTATTTGCTAAAATTTTAGCTTTGAGTATTAAATTTTTCATGCCTTACACTATTCATTCTAGTTAGTCTGATTTTATCAATGACATAATTTTCACTAATAACATTATTCTCGCCTTTGAAATCCTTTCTAAATTTAATATTCATGGCAACCCTAAATATTTTTGTGGCAAGATCGATATCTTTAAAACTTTTGAACTGTCTCTAGAAGCTTTCTTCTAAATAGGATACGTCATAAGGGTTTCCTGGAGTCAATTTTTTCATGGGTTCAAGCTTGCATTTTTTATGTTCCTTTCTCTATCTACTTCAATGGAGGGTTATATGGGTTTTTTAATTTTTCATTTGGCTTGAGGCAAGTGTTTTCCTCTCTCTCGCTATCTTTTCTACATCATCATGGATAATTTCTCTAATCTTATTGATAGCTATAATGAGGCTTCTCTCTTTAAAGGTTTCAATCATGTTGGCTCTCCTATTTCTCATTTACTTTATATTGATGATTTGCTGATTTTTGCAATGCTTTTTCTTTATTTTTTTTATATTTTATTTATTTGGCAATGCTTCTTTAGCTAATGCTCAGATTTTGAAGGACATTTTGCTAACTTTTAAAAGTACTTATGGTCATAGTATTAATTATGATGAGAGTACTATTTTCTTCTCTAAAGGCTCTGTTAACTTAAGAGAAATTGCTGATTACTAAAGCTCTCTTTGAGTGATGATTTCTTTAAATATCAAGGTATTCTAATTGCTGGTAGGAGACTTAAAGTGGATGATTTTTCTTCATTGTTGAATAAAATTTCTAATATGTTAGATGGTTTAAAGGCTAAGTTGGCATCTTTTGCTGTTAGGCTCTAGTTTATCTAGATAAGGGGCTCAATCATTCCTAAGTATTGT